AGGCTTTTGTGATGTGTTTTTTTGTGTTTTCTTTTTTCCTTCTGGTGAGGAGGTAGACGTTCAATAAGCCCTTGTTGCTGAAGATTAACTGGAAGGCTTCACCTGATACATGTACATGATTTATTTAGCTCTAGCTTTGTAAGGTTTGAAGAAACTTCCATTACTAAGCAGATATAATTAATTTTTTGAACTACATATTCTATTTTTGTTCAAAATTTAAAAAATCTTCCATTTTATGTGTTTTTAAAGCAGGAAGTAATTGAAAAAGATATGTAAACTATTATCAGTTTCTGTTTTTAATAAAAATCAGCTTTCAGAAGCTGTGAGAATACTATGCCATTTTATGTGTGTCTCTTGATTTTTTTTCCCTGTTACTGTTCTTGGCTCTCTCACCTCTTCCAGATCCAATTAAAAAAGTTCTTAGACCATCAATGTCAAGCAATGCAAATTAAATGTAAATGAAGTAATAGGATTTCAACATAGGTGTGCTCAGAAAGAAAAGCAGCTGAACCTAAGATATCTAATCTATCTATGACTAAGATATCAGAGTATTGATACCCCCATTCAAATTACTGATTAAAAAAATAGAGATACTGTCCCTTATTTGAGGAAATACAGGTCTTATAAGAGAGATATACCAGCTGAAACAGTTTTGGCCAAAGAAGAAACTGCTGCAGGTTGGTCATGAATAAATCTAGGGCCCAGGTAGAAAGAAGAAAGTTCTAACGAGAAGGATGCAGGCACAACCTCTTTCTAAGAGTTGAGGAGTAAAAAGATTCAGCTAACCTTGTGTGGTAGTTGTTTAAATGTATGAAAAGGATTACCCTTGGTTATCCTCTTAATGGGGGTAAATGTTACTTGATGACCGAGGAGTTCCCTTTGATTCTTGCTTCCCCTGAGCTCTTGTCTATGATGAGAATGTTGTGATTTGATATTTACCTTCCACGTGCCCTCCTTATATCCTTATATTGTAAGCTAATGGTAAGATTTTTAAAAATCCAGTGTGTTGAAATCTGAATGTAGTAATGCCTTGTAGAAATAGCCTGATAGGTTCATACTCTTGCGAGTTGATGCAGAAACTAGGTAAAATGTGTCATGGAATTTCTCATGAGTGAACCTTTGCCCCAGATAGCACAGCTGTTGGTGTGCATCAGATTACCTAGTTATGCAATGCTGTAGATACCTTCTGTTTGCATTGTCACATGCTTCTTAGCTATATTTTGGACTAGTACAGATTTTTATCTCAAGGTAACAAACCAGTAAGTAGTTATCACTTACCTACAGTTTATTAACATAAAGAGAATTCATTTTCTTAAGAAGACAAGCTGAGTCTTTGATTTATGGTAGTCTTTTAAGAAAACATGTTGATGCTGGGACCTAGAAGTAGATTTTATGGCGTTATTTTTTATGACTTACTGCTATGTAGCAATACAGTCGAACAGTTCTGGTTTTGCCACAGTAATAACTTCTATTGATCCTATAGGTATGTTGCATACCTACTCCTGAACAGAGAAAAATCAGCTCATGAGCCTCATCAGACAACTTTAGTTAAAAAGTGCAATTTTTTAGATTGTGAAAGCATTTCTGCAACATATCCAGTGTCTTCATTGCTCATAGTAAATCATACAATTTTGACTAACTGCAGTCAGCCTAAGATGTGTGTATGATGGATTTTACTTTCCCCTCCTTGCTTTCCTGGCTTTTTATAATTCAAGAAACTGGATATTTATTCAGGTTATCAATGAAATGCTGGACTTTCAGTTTAAAGCAAGCCAATAAAAAACCCAAACAAGCAAAACCAATAAAAAACCACCTCCACAATTTTTCTCCCATTTTCCTTCAAGTCTGTGGAGACCTTATCTATACTTTTCATTCTTTGATACCCCCTGGTTGTAGTACTGGGAGCTCTGATAATTTTGATGGCCTCTAAATCATCTTATTCCATGTATTCAGAGAGGCAGCAAAGCCCAGGAGCGCCTTCCAGTCTGCCTGCACATTCCCATGAGCACCTCATTCACTGGCGTTAGGAAAGTTGAAGTGTATAGGTACCAGTTGAGATGAATTATCTGGATACTGAAAAGAACTGATGGTGTTTCAGTTTTGGAACATATTGATAGTAATGAAAGATACAATGAATATTTTTTTAAAATAATGACTGGAATACAGAAGTGTGTTTACTGTCACTCCAGTTGTACAGAAGTTATGTGAATTTCAGAGTGAATTTCAGGAACCTTGAGACTTGGTTTTTTTCCTAATTGGTCAACCAATCAAGGTAGTTGTTGTTTTTATTGCAAGTGATTCCAACAGATAGTTGGTGCTAAAAGCTGTGAAGAAAATTAAGGTGCTGTTCTGCATAACTGAAATACCTGTTTTTGCTGACTGATCTTGGGCTCTTTATTTATGCTGAAGAAAACTGCCGCTGTTCTGAAAGCAAAGTTCCTTTCTTTCTGCAGCTCTCCATTTGGCTCACAACAAATAAAATGAAAGGAACTTAGATTCCTAGAGAAAATAAGCTAAAAAAAAAAGTGTCCTAGTATTTCTGCTTGCTTTCTAAATGCAAGCATTGTATGTTGCTATCCCAAGAATTATACAGACTTGAAATAACTTCATAGTTATTTTCTACAGTACTTAATTCTTTGTGAATGATTTAGTTACAACTCCTCAAAATCTTAAGATATGAAATTAAATGTCTTGGCAGTCATTCATGAATAACTCTCAGCTGTTAGTACTTCACACTTTTATTGCTGGTCTTGTGTTTGAATAGGAAGATGGAATGCTTTTTCCCTCTCTTACAGATGAAAGCTACACTACAGCTTTAAAGCAACTGTTGGTGCAGGGTAGAGTGTTGCAAATTTTATCCCCTTAATGAAAAATATCGGAAGTTGGCTTACACTTAGCTACAGGCTGATTCTGTATCCCATAGTCCAACCATGCTGCTTTTAAAATTAAGCTTCCTGCTTGCCTAGTTAAGATATATCTGAGGAGGAGCCTTACTGTTCCAGTGGGACAGGTAATTAAAGTTCTCAGTCACTTAAATAAAGATTTGTGTAAATCGCAATGGGATTGGCGTCCTGAGCTCCACTGCATTAGAATGTTGTGCAGTGTGGACCAGACAGCTTTTGCATAAATATTTACCTTGTGCTTCCAAAGTGTTTGACTTACAGGTTAGTCTATGGTATCATATTTTTCCTCTTTAAAATAAAGCCTGTTTTAAAAACACTTGTTTTGAATTCTTCCCATTTCAGGGAAATGTATCTGCATAAGATGATGTATCTTCCCAAACTGCAAATTAGACTTAATTTCAGTGTCTTGCAGCTTGTACGCCATGGAAAAAAAAATTAGACCTTACAACAGATGCTCTTAGGTGCTCTTAGAAAAACTGAACTGTAAGCAAGCTACTTCACTGCTTGTGCATTAGCCTGGCTTGTCCTTAGGGAAAGTGCGGCAGAAACTGATGATTCAATTATTTGGCGTACAGCAATGGAGTGAAATAACTGTTTTAAACATCTGACATTCAAGGATTGGTTTGAGCAGGGAGGGTGTGTTAAAAAATGTGACTTTGAGCAGGGAGGGTGTGTTAAAAATTGTGACTTTCGAATTACTCAACCAGACAAGAATGATGCTGAGACCCTTGTGGTAAGAAAAAAAAGACTCTAAGGTTCTTTCAGTCTGATGCTGAGTAATTTAATAGTGATCTGTGATTACATGAGGAAGGACAGTGTGATCAGTACCTCCTATACTTATTAATATCTTTGCTCCAAGTTGTTTGCTTTTAGGTTCACTGGCAGAAAAATCAGTTATGCACATGGTTTCAAGTTTGCATCAGCAATAAGCTGGGATGCCTTAGTTGATAGAATCACGTTTCTAGCAAGTCTACTTGATTCTCTCTAAAAGCAGGGAGGTGACTGTGTAACTGCTATTTTAGAAGTGTATCTTAGATGTTAGCCATATACTCAGTGCTTTTAATTTATTTTTTCTAAGAAACATTGCTTGCTGCCTCCTTCTGCACTGCCTGTGTATAGATTTTGTATTCTCACTTTTTATTGCTTCATAAAGTTACCTGGCTTACAATTTAAAATGTATGCATGCATATATAAGTGGAGCATGCAGACTAACCTGATTCAGTTAGAATCTTCTGTCTGCATGTTTTCCATAGTCATTTTCTCTTGCTATTAACAGAACAAAGGTTTTGGTGGACCTAGGCCAGCTGGGGCAAATATATGTATGCTGAGAAGCAAATAGTGGCATTTCTCTTATGGTTGTATGATAGACTAACACATATACCAGCAAAGGGAATCAGTCTATGGTCAAAAGACGGGTCTGCCAATGGTAGATATTGAACATAAGCGAGCTCACTTTTGGCTACTATATACCAGGGGTGCAGTTCCAACAGAGCTGCTGGTTCTGGTGGGTTGAAGTCTGGAGGCTTCCAGCATAATGAGAGTTCTGTATTGCTGCTCTTCAGACAGAGCTTTGTGACTGGAAATTCTGACTGGGCTTGGAAAGGCAACTGTAGATGTTACACAGTGGGAATATGATTTGAGAAATGTTTTTCTTCTGTTTGGTTGTTTGTTCCTCCTCCCCCTTAGTGTATTGGTAGAATTGGTGCCAATTGGGTGAAATGCAATTTCATTTCATTTTCCCCATTGGTGCCGATTGGGTGAAACGCAGTAAATGTGCTTTGTCAAGAGGTGCTGACTGAAGAGTAAAATGATTTCCTGGGAAAAAAATGTTTTCATTTTATTAAATCCTGCTTCTCCGCAGAATAATATTTTGAGATTTTCTTTATTCATTTTCTCAGCTGAGACTTTATGAAGCTTTAACTTAGGTGTTCAATAAATGTGAAATGGACATTTGGAAATGACCCCCAGCTTTCAGGAGCAGATGCTGGTACTGTGACTGCAGTGAATTGTCATTCAGCAAATGATTTCAGTGATATGGCTAGCCTGTGTATTTATAGTGACTTTCTCTTTCTTCCTCCCCATCCCCTTTGTTCTTAGCGTTCCCATGGTTTGGAATGGATATCGGTGGAACATTGGTTAAACTGGTCTACTTTGAACCTAAGGACATTACTGCAGAGGAGGAACAGGAGGAGGTGGAAAACCTGAAAAGCATTAGGAAATACTTGACCTCTAATACAGCCTATGGTAAAACTGGCATTCGCGATGTCCATCTTGAACTGAAAAATTTGACTATGTGTGGACGCAAAGGAAACCTGCACTTCATCCGCTTTCCCAGCTGTGCCATGCACAGGTTCATACAGATGGGTAGCGAAAAGAACTTCTCCAGTTTGCACACTACGCTCTGTGCCACAGGAGGTGGAGCTTACAAGTTTGAGGAGGACTTTAGAACGGTAAGTGAACAGTTCATATGGGATCAGGGGGAAGTACTTTGGAAAAGCATCATGGGAGCCCTTCTATTAAAATTTGCAGGGAGAATAACATTTTCTTTTTGTCCATCCTAACTGGTTAAGATTAACAGAATTAATTCACATTTGTTAATTGGTGGCATTGCTGAGAACATGGAGAGAGGAGGAGAGGGTATTCTACCGAAGTAATACTGTGCAGGATGTATTTAGTAAATGTGGGGTTTTTTAGAGTACATCTGTGATGATCAAATGCTTCATAATCAACCTGAGGGTATGTTATGACAACACAGAAGCCTTGACACTATACAGGCACCTGCAAACTGATTATCTATTGGAAAAGAAATGAAGCCATACTGACTGGAAATTTGATTCAGGTTCACTTCCCTTTGTATTAACATTCAAGCAGAGTAAAGAGTCTTGGTGGAACATGGGGGAGAAACAAGGTATGGAAGCATGACAGTACCAGCTAGCTTTTGATTTCAGTTCTGGGAGTCTACATCATGTAATAGCAGGTACAGTTGCTTACTTTGTAAGGAATTTTGTGTCCCTCACTCCCACAGCTGTAGAACTGAACTGGAAGTTACCTGGTAGCTATTACAGCTAAGCATTTCTCTCTGTAGCTTTGGCTGCATCTGCCATAAATATGCAATTTACACTGAGGGACCAGTCTTGTCTCAGCTGCAGTGTGGTTGATCCAGCACTGGAACCATAGTTGAAGTTCAGGCTGTTTTTCTATCTGTTGAGCAAATATACAAGAATCACATAGCAAATGACTGGTGGACTTCAGCATGAAATCCCACGTCTCTGCAGGGTTGGTTAACATTCAGTGTGCTAAAACAGTTGCAGGTAGTTTAAGAAAAACCCTATAAAGGCTGGCTGGGGAGTTTTGTTGCATAATGCAATCAGTGAAGTACACTCACACTTAAGTGAGTGCTTTGGACACCTCTTCCAGCTATCCAGTTCCACACCTTCCTTTACAGCAAATGTTTCTTGGCTCAAACTTCAATATCCATGGAGAATTACAGAAGAAAAATACTATCCATTACATGAAGGTTTGCTTTCTTAATCTCTCTCAAAGGCCTGGGTGTTCTGGGTACTGGCACTTGAATTGTCACACTTCATTAGCCATTGTAACAGCAGCTGGCTATCTCAGTGTGTTCTGCTGACTGTGAATTGACACTGGACAACAGCTTCAGGACTGCTGCAGCACTGAAATGTCTGTTTCAAATATTTGATCACTAATGCACCTGTAGAAGTAGAGAATATGTGCCAAGTCTAAATCTGGCTGTTGCAGGATTCAGTATTGTATAATGCCTTATATGGAGGAGACTTTAAATGTTCCTGTTTATTACTTAGAAGCAATGTGGAAAAACTAAGGTGTGTTTGTGAATGTTGTTATTTTCATTTAAAAAATCTGGCTCAATGCTAGGAAACTCACGGTTTGATCTAGCAAATGTGCTTTTGTTCTGGCCCTTTATTTCCCTATATATATGCTTTTAAGTTATTTATCTTTCATTGTATTTCTCAATGCTTATGTGACTTCTAGAATTGCATAGATTTAGGACAGATGCTCCAACATCTTGCAAAACAGCATTCAAATCCCAAAGAAGGAAGCCTTCTAAGATTGCAGAAGCTTTTTCTCCTTAAAATAGACAAGTAAACACCCTGTTGTCACTTGCCTGTTCCATTGTCTAATCCTGAACCCCTAAACAGGTTGAATAGATTTGATCTAGACATCTCTGTTGCTTTTGTGTATTAAGAAATAACATAAAATGGTGAGGCATCTTCTGTTTACCTTAAGCCTGTTTTCTGTGCCATAAAAAGGCAACTAAATCTACAAAGCTACCTAGGTTTAGCTATTTGACCTCCCTCGTGTGATCTGCAGCACTGGATAGGAGGAGACCTGAAGAAGTCTCTGTGGTTTGCTTGGTGATTGCCAGCAGTAATGATCAGTAGCTTGGCAAGTCATGTGATTCATTCTTAACATCTGAATGCTTCCCTTAGAAGTAGGAAAACGAACTCTATTCATTAAACTAGGCCACAGGAATATTTTACCAACCATATGAATATACTTAATGTTCATTGAAGAGAGCATCAGAAAGTATTCACCGAAAGGACTATTTCCAGCTTAGGGTTTTTTTTCTTGATTTTCATTTTGTTTTGGGGTTTTTTGGGGTTTTTTTGTTCTTTTTTGCTCCCTTTGTGAATGACTGGTCTTTATGGCTGGCTGTCTTTATTTTCAGGTAACAGCAGTGTTAAGGCATGGGTGGATCTGATGCCTAATTCTGATAATCCTTCCTCCTTTCCCCAACGTGTTCTGTCACTTCACATATTCTATAAATACTCAAATGACCACTTTTGTAAAAGTAAGGAGTACTTAGACTTGTTTGCTTGTATATCTGTGATAGGAATCTCTTCATGCTCTGTGACTCCTCCATGATAGCACACGTACATTACTTGCCCAGAAGTTTGCTGTTAATGTAATGAGGAACAAATTCTTAAGCTGCCCCTCAGTTTTGTGAAGCAACTCAATGTAAAGGATATATGGGGGGGAGAGAGAAGAAAGAGCTATTCAGACCTTTGTCTAAAACCCACACTATTGCAAAAATTGTGTTGATTGCAGTGGCTCAAAGGTGGGATCTTTGTAATCCTTTCCTAAATAGACACCTGCAGAACCTGACTTGTCTTGAAAGAAATTTTACTGCTAATTTCAGTGGGAGCAGGGTGTGGGCCAGAAGAACCCCAGTGACTTAGTCAAGAACATTTGGGACAGGAGAGGAAGGAAGTCTCTTACCAACACAAACTCAGGCCTTGACCTTCCCCATGATCTGTAACGAAAATGCTTTAAAAGTGAGCTTGGCTGTTGGATAGTGATTTCCTTGTGCCAGTTACTAGCTGATTCTAAGGCTTGACTGCGGTATGAACCGAATGCCTGATGACTTGTAGATTGTATTTATCTTAAAACAAATAAACTCACCATCCTGTGTTGTAGGATGAGTAAGCTGTGTAACTTAAGTTAACATAAGACACTCAAAAGTCTTCTTGCTTGAGGAGGCTGTGCTCAGGCCGTAGCTGCTGGCCTGTAGTGTGTATAGACTGGGCTGGAGTTGAATGCGGCATCCAGAGAATGCGTAAAGTAACCATGACACCTTCTGTAACTATCACAACAAGAAGCTAGGAAGCTCTTCAGAGGAAGTGGGGAGAAACAATGTGCATCTCTTCCCTGTCAAGAGAGGGGAGAGATCCCTACAGCTAGCTGGGCAAGAGGGCAGACCTCTGCAAAGGATTCCAGGCAAGTGCTTTTTTTGCCCAGAGCTGATTACAGAGTGAGTCTTGTCTTCTGCCTCAGTGAATGCTGGATATGTGCTTGCATTAGACTTTGTCTTGTTTGAATGTGAGTGGTTTGTTTCCCAGCTCCATAAAGAAGCAGGGTTGGGGGCTGAAGTGAAAATAATCAAAATATAAAGAAAGCAAAGTATGTCTTTATGAAAGTGGAGGAGAGGTAATGGGAGGGAGATGGAAGGAAAAGCTAGATCGTAAGCTATTCTAAGAAATAAAAACTGGAGCAATGCCCAGAAGACATAAAAGCCAGATTGATATAGTAAATGAGGCTGTTGTAATTGATAATTAAAATTGATAATAAATTGATGTTACGTTCCTAACAGTTTCTTACCGGAAAAATAGTCATATTTCTAATTGAAAGTTCAAGAGACAAATGGATTTGTAACTGTATCCAGGTTCAGACTTTCCTGTGCTCACCAGAACTATGTAACAGTGTGAACTGTCATGGGAGGAAGTGTTGGCTACTTTTACCTGCTTGTAAGCATGGCTGAAGTCCTAAGACCCTCATTTTGATGGTCCTGGAGAGTTTCTTGAGATCTGAAGTGGTTGGTTCCATTCCCCAGTATTTTAAAAAAAAAATACAGTCTGGCTATAATGCAGAAAAATTATTCTTTTAAAAAATGTTCATATGATTTCCCTGTAACCATGATGAATTTTCCCTCCAGGGTCCTCTATACAACTTTGCTCTGCAGTTGTTCCTCTCATAGCACAACTTTCTGACATAACTTTTCTATAGAGACACTGTGCTGAATATAGTTACAGGAGTGCAGAGTAGAGTAAGCTGAACATTATGCTGTCTGCCTTCACATTAGGAATTATAAAGAGCTGGGAAATACCTGCAAATGCATTTTGTAAATATTGTAGGAAAAACATCCAATTAGATGTGCTTCTGTATGCAGCTTCTGGTTTTCTTTTTGCATATTTATACCTAAACTTTGGTTCCTGCAAGGAGAAGAAGTTTGTACAGCTGAAAGTTGAGGGTAAGTAGTGTGTGGTATGTCAGGCGATGGCAGCAGGAAGAAATGTTTGCCTACTTGCAAATTAATTACAGTGGCTTCAGGCACATCTATTTTGCAATGCAGTTTTGCTGCTTTGAGATATTGTGAGCAAAGGAACAAATAGCAAAAAGGCAGTTCTATAGGCATGGGAAGGGACTGAATTCTGACACTGGCTCTATCATGGCTTATTGTCCAAGATCGGGTGACTACATTTCTTGCAACTTTCCCCTAATTTCTCTTTAGCAAGAACAGTGGTAGCTCACCAAACTGCTTGGAGCCTTGGGTGTCTGGTGGCTGCAGAGCTTGTGGTTCTCTGAATGAAGGTGAATCAACATAGAATACCGATGCCAGTCTTGCTCTTTTCAGAAATTAAAACCAGACTGCTGCAACAACACAGGGAAATAGTTTTTCATTCTGCTATGAATATCATACATGAAAGAAAGCAGTAATAGAACTTTTCTGCTTACAGTATATCAGCTGTTAAATATAGCACAGAGCTATAAAAAGTAAAACAAATTCTAGTATGTCTTTTATACATGGAGACCTGGACCTAATAAAACCTCTATGTGTAGTGCTTGAGAAGGAATTTGAGTAGTTTCTTTTGTTCTGTTCTTACAAAATTGGTGGGCTGACTGGAGAGTTTGTAGAATCAAGGATTTTATCTGTGTTTTTGCACTGATGCCTGAAGTGCTTTACTATTGGATTTGTATTGCTTGTTTGTGTCTTGGAAGGCCTCTGACTAGTGCTTACCTATTTGTAAAAGCGTAGCATGGATCATACAAAAGCAGCTTGTGGCCAGGTATTTGTCTTACAGGAGAACAGAGGTTTTGACAAGTAGGGACCATAAATCTGCTAATGACTTGTCTTTGTATAACAGTTTCTAGTTCAAGTCTTTTATGCTGTATTTCTGTAATTGTAATTTGCGTAGCCATGTGCTGACAAAGAAAAAATATGAAGGGATTGCAAAACTTACCAGAGGAAATACAGAAAAAAGAAGAAATTATATCCACCTGTCTCTTTTGTCCTATGAACAACTGGATCTATATTGAGTCTTGGAGAATGCTGGTTTTTTTGGTCTTAATTCTTTTCTATGGTTCCAGGATTTGAGGACTGGCAAGTAGAACAAAAAGGCAGACCCAAAGAGTGAGCTGGCTTTCAGTTATGGCAAGCTGGACCAATGTACAAGTAGAGAAAAGACTTCATGAGAGAGATTTAAATAGCTCCAAAGAATGTAACCTATTGGCCATGCCTGTTCCATAAAAATATCTTTCCTCTTTACAGTGATTTAATATAGCTTCCAGTGTTAAAAATAGGACATAGTTACCCATTTAAGTCTTCTCCATTAGCTGTTATAAAAACATCCTGCAATATGCAAATGTTTGAGAACCAGCTCTCTACTGCATAACTATTGTTTGTAGTACTGTCGCTTTTTTTGCTAGAAAGTAGAGTTAGGTGAGATGGACTTTGCATGTGTGAGGATGCAAATGACCTCAAGATTTGAATGGGGAAATTTACAGGTTTTTTTGCTCCCTCTCCTCTACCTAAAACTGGAATGGAGACTTTCTACAGATTGTCACTGTATTCTGTCTTTAGAAAGGGATGTGATTTCTAATTCTAGTGAATAGAATGCTATGGCAAGTAGACATGTCTGCTTAAGCACAGTTTTTGTGCCTGAAATCTCAGAGGGAAAGTCCTTTGTAAGCTTTTTTTTTTATTTTCTGTCTTCTGTTACAACTGTATTTTTATGAACATTTTATATTTATGAACATTTTGCTGGGGGCATGGGCCTGACAATCTTTCTGTTTGGGTTTTTTTGTATGTTTTTCACCAAACATAGTGAATACCCTGTTTTTCATTAAGCATTTTAAAGTGCTTGTGGTAATTTAAAGAAATAACTCTCAGATTACTGGTGACATACTAAAAAAAAATGCATATCTTTTAAACATAATTCACTGTGTATTTAATGCATATTAACATACCATGCACATCTTAAAGCTTCTACTGAAAATTTCACTAAATTGATGGGAAATGTAGTTGGATGATGAGCTAAAGTACTTTGCATCCTGAGGAATGGTGATGTGTAGGCATGTGTCAGATACTCCCCAAAAGCTGCAGCTCCTCTTGGGCAATGAGGGGAAATAAATTTATTGCTCTAGAATACTGAGGGGGAGACATATTTCCTGCTTGCAGAGCAGAGAATGTCTCAAAGGCACAGGAACTAAATGGCATTACTGCATAGCACTTCATTGCTCTGGGAGGTACCTGCTGTCAGGCAGATAGCAAACTTTTATTTCAGACTTCATGCTTAGATCTTTGTACTGTTTAAATAGGATAATGTGTTACTATTAAAGTGATCAAAGTGCTTCAGCAGAGCCTTTTGTCCTTCTTAGTGTTGTATTATACTAGGAAATGTTTATTTATTCATTTCTTGTTTTTCTCTTCCAGATTGCTGACCTACAGCTCCACAAACTGGATGAATTGGACTGTTTGATCCAGGGCCTCCTTTTTGTTGATTCTGTTGGTTTCAATGGCCAACCAGAGTGCTATTACTTTGAAAATCCCACAGATCCTGAACAGTGCCAGAAAAAGCCTTACTGCCTTGATAATCCATATCCTATGCTGCTGGTTAACATAGGCTCAGGGGTCAGCATCCTAGCTGTGTATTCCAAGGACAATTATAAGAGAGTTACAGGATCCAGGTAAATTTAATTTTGTTTCTTTTAATTCTCTTTTCTTTTCTCTTTAGTAATTGAACAGGTAGAACTAGACAGTGTGAGCAGTAGGTGCAGCCCTAAATTGTGTTTGTCTTTCCATTTCTTTTAAAAACCAGTAGCAAGGCTGAAAACATCACAGGATTCCTTCAGAGTGGGGTCTACATAAGGGAAATCATTGATCCATTCAGCTTTAGATCTGCTTTAGTCTCTTGTTGGTGTTCTTACCTAGTTCCCATCTCCTGCTGTGAATTACCGAAATCAAGCTGTCCCAGGAAATGAATCTTCTCTCCCCGGCTTTGATCCCCTGGAACAGCCTGATCAATGAAATATGTTAGGGCTTAGTAGTTAGGATATGCCCAGCATGTAGGAAAACTGTGTAGACTTTATTTTGACACAGGAATCTCACTAGATCCCTTGTTTCCTTACTGATTGCACCTGTCTTTGGACTGTACTGGTAAATTAAGGAATGCCAGTGTGTAAAGACTAGAATCTGATTGTCAGAATTCATTGTTACTTTGTCCTCAGTGTGATTTTAGCCTCAGTCAGCTAGTGCTGTCTGAACTGATTTACAGGGTACAGCTGAGTTGAAATGGTCTCTGTCCTATGTTCAGTAAGGGATTTAGATGTGCCTGCTCTGCTTAGGAATTCAGGAGTTCAGCAGAGTGGATGCAAAATTTTGTTTTTAAGGTCAAAAAACCAGCCTGAAGCATGGTTAAGTTTGCTCTGAAGATTTGGAAACAGTGCTAACTTTTAGGAAAGCTTTTAGTTACAGATGTGTCCATCCAGAGATGTAGCAAAAATACCAATAACTCGATCCAACTTTTTTCTCATACGTGCAAACTGAACTGATATACTTCATTTTTCATAATCTAGTAATACTAAAAAGAAAAGCAAAGAAACCATCAAAACAGAAACCTAAAAAAAAATCACCTTTCAAAACAACAACTGAAGAAGCTTCTTGGAGTCGCTATAGTTCCTTCCAAACCTGCATTCTGTTCCTCAGTGCATGGTACATATTAAGGTTTCTCCTGTATATTGCACATGACTGCACATGTGTCTTCTGTTGCCTTATCTAGGCATATCTTTGTCACAATGGTAGCCATGAGCCATTTTTTTGTATACAGTACAGATGGACACAAGTTGAATGAGAGAAGTATTGGTCTTCTTGCAGTTCTGGTTGTTTTTCAAGCACAATAGTTTTGTCATCTGTAGATGTGCTTCTGATCCTTTCCACTGTGTAAGGAAAAACGTGACTGCAGTGGGTTGTTGACTTGTTATAAGTGATGTCTTGTGGCTGATGTGGAGAGCTTTCTATTGTTCAGACCCTGAGTATATTACAGTGCTACTAGATGTGTTCTAAAAAGCCCGATAGTCCAAGAGCACAGACTAAATGGTGTTCCTATCTGACCTCCTGTGCTTTTTCATGAAGTGCAAGCGTGGTGTCTCACTGATCCTCTTGTTTACAGTGGCTCCAGTTGGTGTGACTGCAGTCAGTGCAATAAGCTAACTTTCTCAGGGGCTAAGAAAGAATGAGGAAGGATGTAGAGGTTAGTAAGTTGAAGTTCATGTCTGTTAAGACTGAAGAATCCAAAGTAGAATTTTAATGGGTTGGCAACCTGTTATGCACAGCTAAATCTTCCCTGCTGAATTTATATAGTCAGTAAATACTGTACTTGAGCCTTTACAAGATACTAAGGAACATTCAGGACTGATACTAGCCTTGCTTTGAACAGGAACCAACCAGTGGCTTCCTGCCACTGGCTAGATCTGTCTTGGCTGCCTGCCCCTGTATAGATATTTAACTTTGTTCACTGTTTATTCTTTCATCACTGATTTGAGTGCTCTTCTGGCTAATTATTCTTGCACAAGGAAAATTGTTAAGAGTGCTACAAATAGCAAAGTGGTATCTGTAGTGTTGGATTGAACTTCATTCTTAGCTAACCCTTTATTTAGTATAATTTCTCCTATCTAAGTATTAAAGACTTAACAGTAGTTCAGTTAAAACCACACTGCATGACACTTGAGTTAAATAGCAACTCAATTTAGAGTATCTGTCTTCACTCCTTTAAGGGAGTTACAAGACACAGTTGGTAGCTCCATAGACCTTGTTGCAAGTGGGGGTCTGAAGAGCTGTGGTAAAAGCTGGTTCAAGCTGCTGGTCTGAAGGGACTGTGCTTTTCTAGTCTTGGAGGAGGAACGTTCCTGGGCCTGTGCTGTCTGCTCACTGGCTGCGAGACGTTTGAAGAAGCGCTAGAAATGGCCGCAAAAGGAGACAGCACCAATGTGGATAAGCTGGTGAAAGATATTTATGGAGGAGACTACGAGCGGTTTGGCCTTCAGGGGTCTGCTGTAGCATCAAGGTATGTGCTAATTGAGCTGTTTTTAAGGAGTCCATTGGGAAACTTCCTGTGCATGCTAAACTGAGTGCATAATCCCTGGACTATGTACTAAGTCCATGTGGTTATGTCACTCGATGTATCACGTGGTTTGTCCTTAGATCTCTCACTTCTTACTCTTTTTTTTTTTTTTAAACGGGTATAAGCAATGCTTGACATATTTTCCTTCTATTTAAGTTACAATTATTTTAGAAGTGTCCTTACTCATTGTTCTACCTTTCTAATGAGATCACTTTTCACATTTCAAATCTGTCACAAATCAATGGATACCAAGTCTAAGCCAAGCTTATTAAATTACAAAATTTTAAGGGCTTTTAGCACTCCTAAATATCTCATATTAAAAGATATCTTTCTCACACAGCTTTGGTCATATGATGAGTAAAGAAAAGAGAGATTCCATCAGTAAAGAGGACTTGGCCAGAGCTACTTTGGTCACCATCACCAACAACATAGGTTCTATTGCTCGCATGTGTGCACTGAATGAGGTAAGTTATTTACCACGAGCTTAAAACCTTTAGAAACAACACAGTGAGATTTAGAAACAACACAGTGCTGGCATAGTAGGTGTGTAACTGGCCTTGGTAAATATGCATATATTTAATGTGTTATGTGTATGCTTTGATGCAAAGTGAAAGGTACTTTGAGCTTCAAAGGTAGGCAAGAGGGGAGAAAAGTTAACTGTAAAGATCTCCTTGAAGCATTGAGCTTCAGCCTAGGGCTGTTCAGTTGCTTTCAAGTTGTAATACATAGATATTAACACCTTTGTAATAAAAATTATTACTCTCAACTACCTTGTAGTTATTAACAGGTTTTATTATACCATGACAAATTTTATTTTGAGTACTGCTTTGCTTGGATTGTTTGCATAGCATGGCAAGTTCAAATTGTGTATTGTGTTAAATGTTTTGATAGTTATAGGAACCTTTGCATTAGGTCAGAAAGAAGAAAAATACACTTGAGGCATTATCCTGCCTCAGACTCCTATCAGATGCTTGTTACATTTTTTTATTTAGGCATGCTAAATATGGATGGATTGTTCCATTCATACACCTTTCCAACTTCTAGCAGTTAAAAAAACCCAACAAACCCACACACAAAAACCCCACCACAAAACCAAACGTTTAGACCCTTGTTTATATCTGCACATTGCATCCTTTACTATTATGTGGTAACTAATCTCTTTTATCTGCTCTGAATGAATTTATATAATTTTTTAATGCACAGGTCTTTTAGCTGGACAGCACTCTGTCAGTAGAAGAATTGCTTCTTTTTTTATATTTTTAATCATCAGCACATCCACAGAGCCCAAAAAAACCCCAATAAAACAAAACCAAGAAATGTACCAAACTGCCATCTGTTTACTTTATGGAGTCCCATCTAGCTTTTGGCTTTACGAGAAATGGGAAATAATTACTAGTGCTTTTGGTGGGCGTGGGTTTTGATTTTATTTTTTAATAAATTTTTGCCACATCTCCCTTGTGCTCTTTCCAAGACAGAAGGTCCTAATACTTAATCTCCTTTCTTATGGAAGACACTATCTCTTGCTTTCACTGTTTCATTATGTGTTTTTAATCTTCTTATGGTTCTAATTTTAGGACTGAATGGTCAGATCTTCATGTGGTATTGAGTGTTGTTGCTCAATGAATTTGTGATGGCATGTTGATAAATTTTGTGTTCTGACTTCCTTTACTAACAGCTTTTAATATTTCATTTTTGTGAGCATGGAACTCAATTTTAAGGAACCATCCACTGTCCCTCCACAGTCTTGTCTTAAAGTAGCTAATTTGGAGCCTATCATTGTCTGAATACTCAAGTGTTTCTGTTTTACCCCCTTTCATTTGTGTAATTTTATTTTTTAATTTAAACTTCATCTACCACTTTTTCTTTAGTCATTGGGCGTAAGTCTCTTCAGCATTGCTATGCTGTTAATTTTTTATTCTCTTTTGACTAACTTTGTATGCTAGTTATGTTTGTTGCTCATTGCTCTCTAGACCACTTTTAAAATATGTTGAACAGCACAAGTTTTAGTGTGTGCCCCTATCAAATGCCACTGATAACCTTCTTTCATTGTGAAAAGTGGCTTCAGACATATATATGTGTGTGTGTGTGTGAGTGTTTTTGGGGGTGTTTTTGGCAATTCGACTCTTTCAGTCAAGATAATTCTCTTTCAGTGTTCTCTTTGCTTTCAGCTTCTTTACAGTGTTGCCTTGTGGCATGGAGTTCAAGCAGCATTGTACAGGGCTATCAAAGCATGGAGAGTTGCAGCAGGGAGCCACATGCGATGCTTTCAGAGGAGGAAATAGGCTACTAATGAAACTAATGCTTCTGAATCATCATGAAAAAGTTCCTAACATCTTTGTTTTGTGGGCAGGCTTACTTAAAAACTGGACATGATCCATAGAATTTTGTGGAGGAATGTGGATTGATGTGTTAAGTATTCTTCATTTCACAGTGTCAAAGTAGAATTTATCCAACACATGAACTAAATTATTTTGTAGTTTTAGAGAATGAAAACTTCTTTTAGTAGCTTTACATACTATTAAAAAGAAAAATCAGACATGCAGTATCATTGCAAGTAACCTAATCTTCAGATAGTTTGCTCTTGGGGAAAAAAACCTAATGCTATCATTCTGCTAAATAATCTAGACACCTAAATGCCTTTGGGAGACGTGGCTGACTTACAGCAAGCTTGATGAATGAAATCCCCAAATAAGAGCTTAAAAACAGTTGAATATGACATTCTTTTATGGAGCTTGTATGTATTAGATTCGGGTTATGGTGAAGCTCACTTTTAGGTTGACAGAATCAATTTATGCCCTGAAGCATGAGTTTTGATAAGTTTTTCCCAATGATTGCAGCTTTAATATTGTGTTGAAAATGACTTGCATATGTGCAGGAAAAAATGAGGCTGGGGAATAAATGAAATATTCTGTCTGAAGAACTTCAAAGCAGATTTGCTTGCGCAAAGTTGGCAGTGGGGTAGAAAAATTCCATAGTCTGGAACCATTTGGCTACACATCATTTGAAGTGGTCTGTCCTAGGCACGGCAGAACTGCATAAAGGAAACCAATGCCCTGGTTTATACTTTTCTTATTAGCAGAACATGTAAGTTGCATCTGAACAAGCCTTCTTGCAAAAGTATGTGTGGGGTTTCTTACTGCATTATTGATATAGATTTCCCTATTAAATTATATTGGCAAATATGTGAATACACTACATTGAAGCTACACTGTAGCTTTCTACTGCAGGGTATTTGAACAGTTTAATGAGACCCACAGAGTGCAAGAGTGCATGTCTTTTCTAGGATGTTGTAATTTGATTAGCTTAAGTAAGCATGTCATCACCATCTCTTCATCAGTTTAAGACTTCTGTCTTTCAGCTTTGAAAGCTTCAGCAGTGGACACAATTTAAAAGTAAATTGACAAGACTCCCTTAAGGGATAAAAGTAGCATTTCTTCATTTTCCAACTCCTGAAAAATGCTGGGTTTTTAGGTCAGTTCAAAAAATCCAGGAAACTTTATATCATTAATACAGTTTTTAATCTTGTCAAGAAATTTTGGAAAATAAAATTGATATTAAATTTTCATGTTGATATACAGTCTGCTATTCTGGTGGTCTAGTGGTTAGAGTGCCTGACTCTCACCGCTGCGACCCGGGTTCGATTCCCGGCCCCCTGGGCAGGTGGAGCTCATCAGCCGTGGAAGGCAATCCACCTAAGAGAAGGTCACTCTAAACAAACCTACATCCTGGGGACCTCACTGCCACTGTCCAAGCTTTGCTTGATGAACCTCAGGACTAAAGGGTGGGCTCAGTTCAGCGCACGCTGTGTCTCACCTAAAAATCCACTGCGCAGGCTGGAAGGGTTAATGACCTTTCCCAAATCTTCGCTCGCGAAGACTGGCCATTATACATTCTAGTAGGTATGACTAGTATTTTTAGATTCAAATTTTACAGATACAAATGTTTATACTCTGTGTTAGGTACTGTTTGTTTCAATTTCTGGTAACAATAGCTTTGTGTTTATATACAGAAAAGAATAATATGAATGTGAAACTGAAATGTAGATTCTAATCAGTTTGGTGGTATTGCATTATAGGAAATTAATTAGTTGCATGTTTGTCCCTCCTTTATCAGAAATTACTTCAGAGACAAAACTGCCTTATCAAAGGATGCAAGGTGCTCTTTGCTATGTTCAGTAGCAGTCTTTTGAAATTTGAGATGTTCTTATTTTCAGTCATAAATTCAGTAAAGTTTGTGTTGATGTGTTTGATTGGTGTTGAGGGCAATCAGATATGTAACTCAGTCATTGGCAAATGATAAATGAGTTACTGCATCTGGGTACCTCGCTCTCCAACACCGAGTATTCCAGTGAGAATGTTCTCTGTGGGATGTCACGTGCACAGTGCTGGACACGATAGAACTGTGGTCTGTAGCAAAGGAATTGCTGCAGAGCCAAGTGTTGGGCTTTATAGAGCTGTGTGAGTGTAGAGAGGTAACCCTTGGTAATTCTAGCCCCTGTGCAAAGGTTTTCTGGTAATTTTCTACAGAGGACTCCTGAAGATCCTTTTCTAGGGTACTTCAGGATTCCTGAAAAAGCTTCTGTCTCCAGGATTTGGCCTCCTACTGAATCTTCTATACCAGTTCTAGTGTATGGTAAACATCATGGTACACCAATGCAAAATGCAAGTGTGTTTTTGTGCATAACAGGCAGAACTGGGCTTGGTGAAATAGTTGTTATGGGCATTGTTTAAAGACCAGACAGAACCATTGCTTACTGCAGTGATGTACGTACAGGAAAGGATAGCCCATGGCTTTCTTGCTGGCAGCTTAGTGCTGATGATTCAAAAATCTTAATTTCCTGAATGAAAACTGAGTTCTAGTGAGCTTTGAAACAAAGGAATGCTATACGTATCCAGTATTATGTCAGCCACATTTCACTTGCTTTTTGAAAATGGAACCGCAGTCCAGATAACAGGTAATGAAAGATGCTTCTTCCCATCTCTAATGCAGTCCTTCTCAGATACTTTTCAGAGGTTCTCCATCTGGATTTAATAATCATAATGATCTCTGGAAAGTTGCTTCATTTAACACGCAGGGGGCAAAGATGTCTTCAGTGCAGCCATATACAATTAAACATCTCTTGCAACATCTCTGCTTAGCAGTCAGTAATTGTAATTATTTTTTGACTTTTCAGTCTGGAGAGTTTAAATGTGACCCAAAATTCCCATTTAACTTTATAGTAGAGGCAGAGGTACATGTTGAATGAGGCAAATAATTTAGCTGAATATAATTTTTCTGGTCTGTTTTTCAATTTCAATTTTACAGAACATTGACAAAGTGGTATTTGTTGGCAACTTTCTCAGAATTAATATGATTTCTATGAAGGTGCTAGCATATGCTATGGATTATTGGTCCAAAGGACAGCTGAAAGCTCTGTTTTTGGAACACGAGGTAAGGAAATACATGTTGAACTTTTATTTGTAAGTACAAAGATCTTGTTCTTTATTTGTTAAAAGGGGAGAATTTCAGTGCCATTGCTTTGAAGTGAATGCAACAAGCTAAGTTCTGCATAAATGCAATTTAGTTTACAAATTCATTTGAAAATACTGCTTGTTAACTTCTTGGCTTGATCACTAATCTTGCGGTGTGTGTTGTTAAACATTGCCTGTCTCTGATTTTTGCTCTCTGACCCTGGTACCAACAGTGTTCATACCATGGGCTGCTATATAAACCTCAAGTATAATTAATTTTTGTAAGCATAATTTTGAGGTGACTACCAGATGGATGGATTCATAATGGAAACTGCCCGGCCTCAATATAGCATGATTTTAATGGTTCTGTAATTTCTTTTTGACAATTTTGGAGAACTGTGTAAGATTTTTTTTCAGTACCAGGCCCTTTCTTGTACCTAAAGAAGATCTTATTAAATCATAATCAAATGGAGCAAATACTTGGCACGGCAGAGCTGATCTTATAAAAAAGATCTTTTAATTGCCTTAACAGAACTGAAGACTTTACATGTCTTGTTTTGGAATTTGATTGGTTTTGGTTTGCTTTTTCCTTTGTTCAAAGGGTTATTTTGGAGCTGTTGGTGCTCTTCTAGAATTGCTTAAAATGACAGATGATCAGTGATGAAGCTGTCTGAAGAGATTCCTACTGCAGATGCTGCTGGATAAGAGTGAAAGCCACTACAAGGATGGAAACAAAGCCATTATGGTAGTTCTACCTGCTGGATTTGTAAATAATTTAAAATCCTTTTAGCTAATCTTTAACTTCTGGGTTTTGACCTTATACTTCAGAATTCATACTGGGAATTATGAGGATTTTTTTTCTGTACACTGTATTTTTTAGAGGAAAAAAATGTGCAAAGTGGCCAAACATACAGATCTTATGGATTTATTTTAAAAAACGGATACTGTTTAATGTAGGACCTGTGATATGAGGCATCTGCTTTTCTTCTGGGGTTTACTGATTAGTGTGGTAATTTTAACTTCATTTAGTAATCACTCTAGGAGATTTTTTAATCTTATTTTCATGACGTTTCATGATTTCTTCTTGGTTTCAAATGAAACTACAAAGATGATGCATTTTACTGTGAAAACTAGTCATTTTTTTTGCCTTTCCTTTCCTCATTAGACAAGACACTTTTTTTTTAACACCCCCCTGCTCCCCCAAAAAATAAATTTACAAGCCTTCTGTGGCTAAATGTGTTTCTTGGCAGGACTATGAGAAGGCTTGGCAAGGGTAGGGGGTTTAAGATCGTAATTTTTTGGTAGTCATGAATTGCAACAGGAACAGACTGCCAACTGGTTTTGCAGGACTAATTTTTCTCTATAATAAAAATCTTAAACAAGATGTGAATTAAAATTTTAATTGTTGAATTGACAATTAAATTGAATTGTTTCTGTTTAAAAGCTCTGATCTGAAGAGTTCTGTAGTAGAGATATTATTTATATGGTACATACTTGACATTAGATGGTAAAGGGAGATTGTTTTCATTTATTTTTCTGTAGTCTGCAAGTTTTAACTTGTTCTTAATTGAAAACAACTAATAACTGCATTATTCAAAGCCCAGTTACTAAAATTAGAAAAGTACAGACTAATGTACTTTCTGCTTTTAAGTTAATGTGAACTTTCCCTCCAAGGCACTAAAATTTGAATGTTCACTCCAATGCAGTATTTTCTACCTTTTTGATTTGCGGACCTCTCTAGATTTTTTTTTTCAAGTTGAATTGAGACCCCTTTGAAATCTATGTACTTAGGTTGCTGCAGAGCATATATAAACTTGCTTTTTCTTAGACACCTTGAGGACTCACAAATGAGAGGCTGAAGACAAGTTCATAAATGATTTTGTCTTGCAAGACTGTATATGATGTCACATAATGTAAAGGATCATCAGAGGGACAGTATAAAATTCAGACACATGTATTATCCAGTATATTTTTGGAAGGGGGTTTATTTCACTTTTCTAAGTCATTCTTTTCCATATCTCCCAAATGCTGAAAAAAGGTGATATTAACTGAAGTGTTAACTTGTCTAATGGAAATAAAGACCACTACTGTTTTGACAGTTTTAATGTATCTGTGGAATTCAATTCTCAAAAGCAGTGATGTGAAATATGTAACACTATTTTTATGACACACATGACTAGTTATTTCCATGATTTTTTTTGGTTCTTGACATGTTTTGACTCTTAATTATATTGCTTTAGCCTTTGAAGCCTTTTGCCTTCTTGAAGTTGACTTTAAAAAACTATAAACCAAAAGATGAGACAATATATTAGCATGTTGTAGTTGATATTTCCTATAATATCAAGCTTGAGATAAGTGAGGATAGTTCTGCTCAGTGCCTCTATTTTTTTAATAAAGAAAAGAAAACCTTCACTAAGTTTATTTGCTAAGTTTTGGCTGCAAATAAAGATTCATTTGGACATTTTTATATTTTTTTTTAAGGAAGACTTCAGAATGTTAAGAGGTAACTGCACTTCTTATAGTAAACGGTAGAGGGAAGCATGATATCAACGATGTAAATATGCTTGGTTGGCTTGTTTCAGAGAAGGATCCCATCTTTTTCTCCCTGATCTATTTTTGAAGGGAATTTGATGTCAGAATATCTGTCACATAGGTGTTCTTTCATTCTTAGCATTTAGAGTTATGTGAAGGAAGAATATAATGTTAAGTAAACAAATGTGAAATAGCAGTTCTATTAGGATTAAAATCCTCTACCCCCCCCCCCCCAAAAAAAAAAAGAAACACAAAAAAATGCTAGCAAGCCATCCAAGAAAATATATAAGGACTATGAAGATGCACAAATTGAGGCCGTGTGGTTAAAGAAGAAAAGCACAGTCCTGGTAGCCCTGAAGTTAGCTGAAGGTTCCAGGGACTGTCAGGTAAATAGATCACAGCAGTTCTAAGAAAAGCACAAAATAAAACCTTAACTTGAAAATGCTGATTTAAAATTTAAAGTGCTTAATGTGAATTGCTATCGTTAAAAGAACGGGGGAAAATGCTTTCACTTATATACTACACAAAGGAGTATACTTGGTTGGGAAAAAGATTAGCAAACTAAATTAACAGGATAGAGAGTTATGGAAAGTCTGAAGTAGGAGAACCTAGAGGAACATGTTAGTTCAATTCTTCCTTTCCTGAGGGAGAAAAGCCTACTGCAAAACTATTTCTTTGTTGCCTCAATCTCCAGCTGACTCCTTTTTTCTCTGTCCTTACCAGCACCATCACTGTAACTTGCTTGTTTACCTTCAAACTGTGCCTTCCTCCACTTATCCCAAGTTTTGTTTTCCTCCTCCGTGTTCCCCCTCCATAAGTAAGGTAATGGAGGAATGACAGGGAGGTTGGTTTCTAGCACTGTTACAGTATTTTTGCCATATAGGAGCACTGTGGGCAGTTCTAAAAGCATTGCTGTTGTCTTGAACTTTTCTGATTGTGTTTGGTATCCAGTTGCTGTCTACAGTCATCTCCTAGGAGGGTTCTTTGACTCTCTTCATCATCCAGAGGTATCTGAACAGTCTGAAAACAGTCTTGCTCAACTACAGAAATTAACTTCTAGTGTAGATGGTACAAACTGTTAATTGTGCAAGCAAAGCTCATTTGCAGCACTATCAACAAGTATTATTGAGAACCTAGAAATACCCAGATCCTTAGATCTCTTTTGTTTTGGGAATAGTGATAGTGAAGAAGCAGACTTCCCTAAGGGAGATCAGTGAGTTTGCAGATTCAGTATGTACTGAAAATACTTGTTTTGGTATAAATTGATGAGGCCTCTTGACAAGCCAGCTTTGTGTCAATCAGCTTCTCTTTCTGAAACATGGTAAGGTAATTATTAAGGTAAGTTGGAGCAGAGTGAGTGGGACTATTTCCTCTCAATTCTGATGGTTTGTGCTAAGAGCTGCTTCTTTAGGACTTGACCATTTGTTGTTCTCGAATCACATGCTGCTCTCTTCATTCCCCACCGCCACTGCAAAACCCAGATTTTTAATGGTTTTGACAAAAAGTCTAATTATGTCCCAATAGGAAGAAGGGTCTGTGTTTCAAAGTAAAGTGCTTGGACTAAAGTGTTGGGGGAAAGTCCCTAATGCTGGCTGAAGAGTGAGGAACAACTAAGAGTATTTACTTGATCAGATTTATTAGAGAAGGGTAGCATGGGGTGCATGGGGGCAGTACAAGAATCTGACTTCTAGGGCAAGTGGGGTGCTTGCAGTGCATTCCAGCCTCAGCAAAGCTGTCCTGGTGTTTCACTGTTATCAGCACTTCTGTTCCCATTAGACTGTCACAAGATACTTGCAAGTGATTTTTGGCAGGACACAGCACATCTTTAGAGAGGGGAGAACCATATGGGGTTGAACTGATGACAAAATAAACATGCATGATTGTTTCCATTTGGATGAGGAGTTCTACTGGGATCTCTTTTTAAGTACAAGGTGTCTTTGAATTTGGGAATAAATGAAATACAGGCTATGAAAAAGATCACAGACCATTTTGTGTCTTGCTACCTCTTGGCACCTGAAAGATAGAGAACATCTGATCTCTAGGATGTCCTGGAAAATAAATCCTTTTTAAACATAAAAACCGAATCCAGTTTCTGATTCTTTAATATTTACTGGTGCTAATTGCAACTTTGCATGATTATTCGTGTGTTTGGAGAAAAAGAGACATAGAGACTGTGCAAGAAGAGAGTTCTTCAAACCTCCCCTACCACCTCCTTGCCCAAGCCCCCCCCCAAAAAAGGCAGAAAAAGAAGCAAAGTAAAAATTGTGGTTCTGACTGTAAAAGTTTGGAGAACATGTTAGCTGCCTTGGGAATTGAGATTTCCCTCAAACAAGGGATACTGGCGCTGGGAGAGATGGAAGAGAAATGAGTAAGAAAAGCTGAGGCTCCCAGAAGGGGAAGGTACTGAGCCCAGGAAAGGGACAAAGCAGCAGCATCTTTGGAAGTTCTGGGGTGACATGAACGAGGTGGGAAGGGCCCTGCAGGGTGAGTAATTAAGGAGCTCTTTGTTAGTGCAAGCTGTGAGAGAATGGTGGTGTAGGTGGGGAGGCCAGGTGATTTCACAGATTGGCCGGAGGTGCCTTAATTCAGAGGGTGAAGGAAGGGTAGGTGGTCTGAGCTAGAGCATTGAATGTTACTGGGCTGGAGCACCCCTGGAGTACCCAACGACCTGTGGTGAAGCATTAAGTCTTCTACTGAGATGCAGATGTTCTCTAATGTGGGCAATAAGCCTGGTCTAAAACAAGTGTGAGACACGCAGCAGGGGATGTACTGGCCTCCAAATGATAGAGATTTTTTTCTTCTTTTTACATCAAAACCATTGCTATGACTTTGGCAGAAGCACAGCTCTTTTCTGCTTGTCTCCAGCAGTTTGTTCTGTTGTGCAGAGCTGTGCAAAGTGGCTGGTAGTGGCAGGGGGTTCAGCAGCCTCCTGCAGTGTCCCCCAAGCTGCTCACAAACCTCAGGGTGGTGCAGCCACTGATCACGCCAGGGCAGAGTTCTTTGGTCCTGTCTAATTTATTTCTAAACACCGTGTTGCAACTATATGAAGCACCAAATTAAAGGTATGATTTAAGGCAATGAAGGAGGACAAACAGCCTGAAATGGCATCATGTTGCACTTAAAACAATGTCACTCCCTGTTTTTAAGTGGTTTTGCTTATTTTGTTGTGATGATCAGGGCACTTCCAGCCTCAGGTTTCCAAGCTGACAACTTCACCATTTTCCAGATTTTTGGATGGGTGACCCATCCATCTCTTTTTCTTAAAAGTCTGAGCGAATCTGGGCATTTGGAACAAATCAGAAGTAGCCATTTTTTCCAAGTAGCATGCTTTTTTTGTTTAAAATCTTTTGTGAGAGGAGCTTTCCCTTGTGAAGGAATACACATTCTCTGCTGCATTGAAAGAATCAAGGAACAATGGCTTAGAGCAAGACAGAGTCCATCACAGACACTGTTTTGATAATGCAGATTGTCACAATAGAGACATCAGTGCTTCAAGCAACAAGATGGTAGAGCTGCTGGTATGCTGTGACTTGGGTGGGTGTTCGGGGTTTTTTTGTTCAGGGGTTTTGTCTTGCATTCATAGCAAGTTGCACAAAATAAAACAGCTGGTCTCATCTTGTAGGGGTTTCTGATGCAGATGCTAGGTTGAATGTGTATGTCAGTAAGGATGAGGAAATTAATGCCTCATAGGCATTAGGAAAGACATGCTGATCAAAATGTTCTTTCCTACAAGCTTTCATAACAGCTGCATCAGTTGGGAGACTGCAATTGAAATATTCTTGTGTAAGTCAGTAAATTATTACCAACTGGCAAGTGTAACACTGAGTTGAGATAGCAGTATTGTTATCTACTGTGCTGAATCTACCCCCTTTGTCCTCCCACTGGCATTACCCCATCGATATCCTGATGGTCAGCAGGAGGCAACGGAAGCAGCACAGTAAATGTGGTCCATTAACATCTGTTTTGTGAAGTGCAACAGTGTAATATGGACAAGGCAACTGAAGCCATGAGAGGCTTCTCCTCTAAGAAGGCTGGATAGGCTTCACCTGGACATTGAAATAAAAACTTAATTTTTATTGGAATGGATTTGAACAGTGAGAATGCTCTCCTATGTTTGAAAATTATTCTTACTCTTTTTATGGTTTTAAAAATTAACTGTTAAATAATGCATATTAATTAAAAAAAAAAACCTAAATGAACAAATTAATTTATCATTTTTAAAGCTGGCTGGCTAAATGAATCACAGAATTCTGAATGTAATTAAAAAAAATTTTAGTTCCTTTTAGTGGAATTGTTTTGTTTTTAGAGCAACTTCACCCCTATTGCTATTTGAATAAGTAAACAAAAACATGCTGTTCCTATGTCCTAAGCATGCTGTTACCCAGCTAGCTTTCATCATATTGCACTTGGCTACAAAAGGCCGCACACAAAAAAATCCAGAAATATTTGCAGGATAAGCCAAAAACACTCCCAGAATTTCCCCGTGTTTGTCACAGTGTTTTAGCTTAAAAAGTAAGTTATCTGTTCTCTTCAAATGTAGGAGGTTTGAAGACACCTCTCCAGCAGATTTGCCTGTGCAGCATGGCAGCCCCTTTTGCATCACTACCTTGCCTCTTGGAAGGGGGAAGAGCAATGCAAGGGAAACTAAAGCTGCTTTCTGCTGATGGCTGCTGGTTGATCCATAACCCACTTCACACTACATTTGTTCTTTTACAGGTAGGGCAGAAAACATTCAGGACCGTTTGAAAAATAAACAAGCTTTAACAAAATATTACTCAGACGTGAATCAGGAATCTGTCGATAAAGAAACCAGTTTCTGTCACCTGTCATAAAGTTAGCAGCATTAGTCTTAGAGCAATTAAATGGTAGATAATACCATTCTATGTTTCCTTATCGTTTTAAATTTCAAGCCTTGAGAAGGTAAGATGAGGCTTCAAGCCTTTGTGCAGACATGTATTCATCCCCCAAGAGTAGTGCAGGGTGCCTTTACTCAGGAGACCCGAAAGCACGCTTGGGTGAATGCATGTGCACAGGAGGCCTCTCGTGCTTTGCAGGCCCATGGCTGAATCCTCACACCTTGTACAGCATTTGGGTGGTTTTACAGCAGGAGAGCCTGGGGAGAAGGTGAGTTGGTTGGTTGGTTTGTGCTGACCTGCTTGCCCTTGAAGGGGTGATGCATCAAACATTCTCATACCAAATGCTGTCAGTGGCACAAAAAGGGGCCATGCTCTGATGCTGTTTTTCCCACCTACCAGCATCACCAGCCTCATTTCAGCTCCAGCCCCTCCTGAAGACAATGTGTGGGTGAGCACAGCTGCAAGCCAGTCTGCACCCACGGTCCTCTGGGCTGACTCACAAATGTACTTCTCATGTCATACTAAACATGTCTTGCCATACTAAAAAGGCCACTGGAAACCCATGAAGCACCGTGCTCAGGCACTGCCCTATGGGAAGAGGAAACCAAGCCCTTGCAGTATCAGATACCAAAATGCAAGGCCAGGTATAATCAATGTAATATTTACCAAAATATCTTGCTATGCAGAGCAAGTTTCTGATGTACTTTTAGCTTGCTCTGGTTTAGGCCTCTGTCTGTACATGCTTAACTTTGAGAGAAAAAAGCAAATGAATGGGGGAGAAAAAACCACCTTGCACAAGCACGGGGTGAAAAAAAATTATCTGTAAGATTTTGTGTTGCATAAGTGCCCCTGGAAATAATCTGGTACATCTCCAAATAAAACAGAAATCTTTTATGCTTGTAAGTTTCTGTGTGGAATGACAGTAGTTTCTGTGTTTGTTAACTCTGTAAATGTTTGCTGTAGATACTATCAATGGCAATATTTTATTTAAAGAAGTGTACTAAAGTTTAAAGCAAAGAAACTCCTCCCTCAGCCTGTGAACACAACAACTACAACAATTAGGTAGTAAAAACTGAATTGAAAGTAGTCTTAGGTGTTAAGCTGTGCGTTTTACAGGTGAGCTGGAACAAAAACATGTCCAGGGGCACAGCATACCCTGGGTTGGATGAGGAGCTCTCACTGAAAGCCCCAGCAGTCAGCAAGCACCAGCCAGAGTTTTGTCTGAGGTACAGCCAGTTATTGCCAAATGACTGGTTTTCTGTGTCGTGGAGGTGGGAAGACTTGGTGGTGGCTCACCATCTTCTTTTACTTGGTATCATGTGCTGCTTTGGAGAACAGGATAAAGATCCCCTGCACTGCCCTCAGGCTTTGATCCCCAATTCAGCCGTCTTTAGCTTGTTCATTTCCTCAAGAGTTGGTACCGGCAAGGGTGTTGATGATGAGCAGGATAAGCTGCTAACACCATCCCTTCTGCAGAGCACAGGAAGCCTCATCATTCAGAAGGAAGAATAAAAACATAATGCTATGAGAAGTTGTAGAACCATGGAAATGGTTAGGTCTCCCCAGACTAGAACAACATTATAGCCTATATTTGGTGTCAGATTCCTCTTTGGACTAAAGTAGCCCAAACTTCTGGTCCACAGTCAAGTGAATATGGAAGAGAGACTGGAATGGCTGTGCAAAGGCTTACTTCCAAGTACAACTAATTCAAATTTATTATTCCCATGCTGTGAAAAATTCCAACATCTACTTAAGTTTTTCTTCTGATGGGAAATTTCAAAATGTCTACATTTCATTTCACTTTTTTCACCAAAAAAAAAGCCTGCTAGCAGGAAGCCTAGCAGGTTGCCAAAAGCAAGTCATTTGACATACAAAGTTTTTTTTAAAGCTCCTGTCCAGCCAAAAGTTTGTTAAAACATGTTTCCATAGGACAATTGTAGTGATGAATCTTTGTTTTCCAGTGAAACGTTGTTGCACTAGCTAGCTGGAGTGCAGATCTTTGTAAAATACATGCATTTAAATGTGTCTAAAAAGTTTACTGTATGTGCTTGGACCAAGGACTTCAGTGGCATGCCAGAAGAGATATCCCAGATTAACAGCAGCAAGGCAGGAGGTTTGAAATGTGGAAGCTTGTAATTACTAAAAGGAGACGAATTGTCCTCTTGTTGAACTCATATTAGGTATTGATCTGCCTATACTTATTTTATATCAAGAAAGAGAGGATATTTCTGCCAAAATTTCCAAAGATTCTGGAAGATGATGCACTCAATAGGTTGAAAGACATACCCACATCTCGTTTTGAATGTCATTAGAAACTGGCTAATTTTAAAAGCATTTTTTGATCTGATGCCATATGATGGTCTGATGTTCCAGGAATTGCTAGTGTCCATGAAAAAGTGAGGAGGCCATGGAATAATAATTTTCTATCCGAGGTTACATATATGACTTATACAACCACATATTTTAAGCATTTCATCACAGTCTCTTGATCCCTTTCTGAAGCCCTTTATGTCAGGAAGAAGCAGAGCTTGCCTTCACCTCCAGAAAGGAGCCTCTGCTCACAAGTGGTGGGTACTTTACCTTCTTCCCTTAGAGTCAGCAATATTTGGACTGTAGCTGCAGAGGGGTGATTGAGGGAACCATAGGGACTGTAGTTTCTCCTATCTTTGGCTTCATTTCCAGAGATGCCACGGAACCTCTGTTCCCTTGGCTATAGGATGCCAAAGGTTGTAGATCCAAATATTAGTGACCAGATCTGGAAATGTTGCTCTGAGCATGCCATTACAGCATACCCCTGTACTTTGGCTGGCTGTAACAGGGAGATGGGAGAGGAGGGCAGTGGAATGAGGGTAATGAGGTTTTCAGTTTACAACAGATATTTGTATATAAAGGTTCAACTTAATACATTGCGTAGAAAGACCATTCATCAACTGTACCATGGCACCTAACCAGCCTCCAAACTGTAAAAACACTTATTTTACCTGTTAAATTCCATAGTATTACACTTTGTTTATTTTTATGTTCTGCAAAGTGTAAAAGAGTGCAAAAGTATTACTCTTGTTTGCATAGGAAACAAACCAAAACAAGTCCTTTCCTGACTGTGTTTTCTTTGCCTGGTCAGGCACTCCAGGTGAGGGCATGTGCTCCTTTCATATCTTGATTACAGCACTTCTAAAGAAAGCAACATGCATAGTCCTGCAACTTTGGAGGGATTAAGGCCATTACAGGTGAGTCCTATTCTGTTGCTTGTCACATGGCTAAATGGAGCCATGCAATGGGTCATTTATCTGGTGTCAGCAGCTGAAACTTGCATGAGAAAAAGCCGTTCTAGCAGTGACAAAAGGAAGCCTGTCACGAATGTGTAAAACATGCCTGTAACCCAAAACCTTGTATTTCTATTACTGTTAAGAGTGTTGCTCCAAGAACCAAATGAAGTCATGAATGTTGGTTTGGCGATATCTAGCTTAGGATACTTCAGTGCTTAAAACTAATTTATATAAAAATTTAACAGCACAAAAGCGTTTTAAAGTTTTGTAATGCCAGCGGCAGGTCAGCAGGGTGTGAGAGTTGTTACTGCGTCTCTGCATATCCCGGGTATGTCAGATACACACGGTTCTGTGGCACTCTGGCAATATCCTTTCCGCACCACAGAGATACATTACCTGTTGTTGACCCAGACGATGTCAGCAGCCAACACAGATAACCGCTGACATTCCCACTGCTGATGGGGAGTTATCATTGAGATGCTTGAGGACTTGCAGAGGAAGTTTGCTGCGATGTTGAGATCCCCAGTCACTTGACCGGTAGCTCAATGTACACGTTGTTCAGAGCTATTATCTTGCAGCGTTACACAGTTCAAATGAAGTGCATTGCAACTATGTTAGCAGTGTATTTTGACAAAATCTTTGACGTGAAACATAGTTTAATCAAATTAAGATTAAAAATCTTTCCAAAATATAAAAAAAAAGACTAAAAAAAAAGAGGGGAAAAAATAAAAAACTCACCAAGAAAGTAAGAGATGCACTTTTTTTCTCGTTCAAGGACGAGCTTTTGTTACCCACACAGATGGTAGGGAAAAGTAGCTCCTTTTCTCTCGAGCTGCTGTGAGCCGCCATGCTGCAGGAGAGGTGTACTGCTAGGGAAGATGTACATAGGTGATGTGGGCTGCCCAGTGTTTAGCTTCATCCCGTGGTGTGCAGAAAAAGGTGAAGTATGAGTCTCTCCTAGCTGTCCTGTGTGGCTGGCTGTACTGCACAGAGTAGCTCTGTCATCTGGAAAGGGAAGCCTTTTCCAATCAATAATCCACCCCAAAGCTGCCACGCTTACTGAAATCATGTATGCTCCCTTACCTTGAAGGATTTTGAACTTCATCCTGAAGACCAGCATAGCAAATGTCTCCCTGTCACTCTCCAAATGCTCTGCTTGCACACTCCTGGGAGCTTTGCACTTGCTCTTTATAGCAGCACTGAAAGTCAGCAAGGTCCTGGGGGAACGACAAGAACCAAGCAGCTCTTGTCCAGCAACAGTGTTTGGGAACCGTAAGAAAAGACCCAGTTTTATCTTAGTTCTCATGAAAAGTGTCACAGGATGTTTAATGTCCTTTCTGAGGAAAGACCTGCTGTTTTCCAGATCTTGCCTGAAAACACATGCAGTATTCAGCAAGCCACTTAGTTTATCTGTCTTGGAAAAACAGAAGGCTGCTGGAATTTGAAACTTGTTCCAAGAGTCTAGGGTCCAAATCTCTGTGAGTCCTTCCCCTGGTCTGGGGTTTTGAACTGAGTTTGAAAATTTAAAGACTAGCAAGCAATGGCAGCAGGACTCCTAATGGTGTATGGGCGTGCAGGGCTGGTGTATGTGATAGCGGGCCATCCCTATGCTGAAGTTTTGGTGTTATTTCCACTCTCGAGTGTTGCCTGACTTTGCAACAGGTTAAAAATACCTTATGAAATGCCTGAGAGCACTGATCCACAAATCCCAGAACAGACTTTGCCTCGAGGGGGGGGGAAGCCCTCTTAATGCGGTGAAAGCACCCGTGGCACTGGTGAGACGCGCTTTTCGCTTTTCTTGTCGGTGAAGGTACCACGAAGGAGGGACTCCGATAGCAGCTTGACGGAGCCGGGCGAGGGGAAGAGCCGTGCCGAGCCCACCGGGGAGGGGAACACCAGTCGATCAGGTAGGCGGCCAAGGCGGCCGGGGAAGCTCTGGGGTGGGGGCTGAGCCGAACCCGAGCCCTTCCCTGCCCGCCGCGCTGGGGGCCGCGGTCACCGCCGCGCCGGCATCACCCGCCCCCGCCCCGGGCCCGCGGAGCCGCCGCCCCCGCGGGGCAGCACCGGCGGCCGCGGGGCTCCTGCCGGGGCCGCAGCCTGCAGGTAGGGGCTCGGCGGGGCCGCGGGGCTCGTCCCGGGAAAAGCGAGGAGAGAGACGGGGAGCGACCCCGCGGGGAGCGCGGGCCGGGGGCGCGGAGCGGGGCGGGCAGCGCGGGTGGCAGCGCTCCGGTGGGGCTTCAGCCGGGTCGCTCCCATGCCCTGCCTTACAACTGCGGAAACATTGGAAAATAAATAAAAATCACTCTAAATGCCACTGTTAAATTAAGAAACTGTATATATGTGGATACATATATATATATATATAAACTGTTGGTCAGGTGAGATGCTGGTCAGTTAAAGACTAAACAGCGTTTCAAGTTGCTAGAGGGTATGAGGAAACTCAATCATCTTTTTTTTCTGTTGCATAAACAGAATAAATGTACCTGTTCGGAGGCGGGTGTGAGAGGCTGTGCTGTGCCTCGTCGCCGTCTCGGTGGGTGCGGACTCGCGGCTGTCACCGGGACCCCCGTGGCTGTGCGTGTGTGCGAGCGGTTCCCAAAAGAGCTCCAAAAACCCAGGCGCAGACTGCTCAGTGACAGGCTAGAGAGCTGGCCTGTGACCTTCCCCAGGAATAGTCAGCTGTGGAAGTAGTTAATTACAGTGATCCTTATCCTGAATGGCCTTGATATTTCTTCTGGGATATTAATATAGTTCGTTTCCAGGAGAATTCTTAGTCCCTTGTAGGACTTAGCCAGGTGTGCAGTAATAGGCTCAGGCTAAATGGTATTGTTGGCATGTCTTGCAGGAAATTTTGTGTTCACAGGCTAAGTTCAGGGAAACTATCCAATGAAAAAAAAAAGCCCAAAGATACTAGTATTATCCTTATTTAGAACTCTCTGATAATTTGCCATTCATTTATTGACCTGTTCTGTTTAATATCTCTAGGAGTAAGTCGTTAATTAGGTATTTGGGATGAATTTGGGTTTGTGTGATTTCTGACTGAAATGATTTCATTAAGTTAACAAGCTGGTTGGGGCAGTGAGTATGTTTGTTGTTGTTAGTCTGCTCCTGCAGTGGCAATGAGGAAACGTTTCCGTTAGTGCTGGGAAACTGGAGGATAACTTGGAACTTAATGAAGTGAAACAGGATTGCATTTTGCTCAGAGTGATCCTATTATGCCTCAGTTAGGGCCATGTTATTGCTCACCTCAAATCGTTTGCTGTTACTGTCTTTTCACATTTGTTTTTTTAGCTATACGTGGGCCATTATGTGTTTTTGGTTTATATTTTTTCAGTTGTATTATTTTTAGTTTTTAGTTTTCCATCTTTTGCAGCAGTGTAACAGAAGCTCTATTTTAATGGAAGGTTTCTCTGGGCTTAGAGGTTTCCATGTTAATGCCTTTAAAATTCAATGTTTAACTTCTACCTTAGCCTCAAGCTGGAAAGTGACAATGAAAGATAGCATAGGACAGTGAGTAATTTCATTTTACAAAGTTTTATCAGAATTGATTCAACTGATATGTAAACAGGGGAAACCTCAGGAACTTTCTTTTCCCCCCAGCCTGCACATTCAGTTCCATTTCAGGCTGTACACTGTTTACCTGACAAGTGGCTTGCTACGGGATGTCTCCTGACTAATTGGATTTGCTGAGTTGGTTCCTGTCTGAAACCGTGAGGAAGGGGACTAGGACACCCCCAGGGATCCCTTCCAGATCTGTATTCCCAGGCCAAGGTCCTACAGACCAGGCACAGAGGGGGAAGATTTTTCAGATGTTTTGGTGCAAACACAATTGCTTCCCGAGGGAGAAATTTGGCATGTTTCCTGAGAGAACCGTGCTTGCGTAAGCAGCCCCCTGCCACCCTCTGAGCTGTGCTAGTACAACCATTTGTGGGGCTGGTGGTAAATTGCATTGGGGGAACTGCAGTGGGTTCAAAAGCACCTTTTCTTCCTTTTTATCAATTACTTTGAATTGTCTGACTGTGTGGCTGCTGTGTCAGGGCTGAGAAGGTGGCCTGGAAGGAGGGAACATGTGGCAGGGAGCAGGAGGTAAGGGCTGTTTCTGCCAGCATCACTGCTGCTGAAAGAAGTAATTGCTTATCAAATTGTGGTCAGTGGGAGATGACATATGGTTAAGGCAGTTGCCTGAAAAACATAGCTGAGTGCTCAGATATCTCAGTTGTGTGCACATGCAGTTGGCCGTATACATGAAGATCTGATTTTATATTTCTGTTGTAATTCTGAGTTTTCACCTAATGATTTTACTTTTGTGATGTGTAGCTGTATGTGTAACTTCAGGATACATTCCCTGTACTATTCTCTCTTGTAGTATGAGCATTTCAAAATACTGTTTTTCTGGAAAATAGACCTAGGCATCATAAGGCTATGAGTTTTATTAATAGATTATATTTACCTGGATAGGTGAATGCCTAAAATTCTAAAGAGGAAGATTAAACCTAGACCCCTAAAAGAGTGCCTCTGGTCCTAGAGAGCATAATTGTCAGCTGTACTCTCTTTTAGATGTACGTAAAATGTTAAATATACTTTTGAATGTAGTGCAGACCTGCTGTGAAATTATGAATGACAGAAATGATTAGGTGAATAGCACTTTTAATTGGTATGGTGAGACTGAGAAGTCAATGGAGCGTAACCTTGCTATAACCTGCTATAATTTATTTTAGTCTGGAAAGCACTGATGCTTTTGTGCATTGTTTTAGGACTTGTTCTCATTCCTACTTTAGACAATTTCTTTCTGTCATGACCCTATTGTAGTGAGGAAGAAAACATTCACAACACCTTGTCTATGTAGCACGTGTGCATATTTAGAGAATGGTGGTACACTTTCTTGTTCACAGAACTTGAAGGACTAATTAGTTACTATGACAGTCTTTATTCAACAGAGAAAAATCATAGGCCTTTTTTCTTCCAACCTAAACCAAGAAACTGTATGGGAGTTAAGAAAAATATCTTACCTTTACTGATTGTCCTGTGGTGGGTCACTACAACTGCAGTTTGGATTATCTGTAGAGTCTCATGTAGATTTAAAAAAACAGATTAAAAATTAAAAATCTTCATTTTATCATTTTTTTCTAAGAGGAAAGGTGTTTCTTGCTAGTAGCCTTATGAGAGCCAAATACATATTTTATGAGCTATATTGTTGCTTTTATTAATTGACATACATTGATGTGACTATGAGCAGTAAAACTGCAAGCTAGAGCTTGCCTGCAGGAGGTGGGCTCCCAACCTGCAGTATGGAGAGATTTGGAAAGGTACAATTTTTAAAAACCAAAATGTAGACATCCAAGCTAATAACTCAGTTTTTCTTCACTGACAATGAAGATGTTTCCTATTCAGCTTATTGAACTGTGAAGATAGTTTTGTTTTCCTCTCTGGAAGCTGTCTGAACTTGCTGTGATGTGGGATGTGGAAGAGCTGTTTCCAATAGGATAATATACCGAGTCAGCTGCTCTGGATGAAGATACACAGGTGAAGACTGTCTTTTACTGGATTGGCTCCTTGTCACTCTTAGGCTTGTAGGACTCTGGATATATCTACACACAGGGCAAGCTGTGATCTTCCAAATATAAAATCTTTGTTGTTCAGGTGCCTTATTCTCCTGTTTTTGGAAGAAGCATTCTCCATTTTCAGTACTGGAAGGTGGGTGGTGCTGTATGCCCAGCTGCTCAGATGACACCTGTCTGGCATGGTCAGACCATGGTAGCACAGCTCAGGAGCCCACAGAATTCAGGTATAGCCAGAAGGCACTTAAGTTTCTTTCCTTACACTGTAAAAGCAAAATCCATCACTTCTGTCTCCACAGCATTTTAAGCTGTGGAGGCCCCTGAGGCAACTGATCAGCATTTCAGCAGCAAGATGACTTATTAGTTGTTAAGATTAGCCAGCAATTTGTGGCAGATTTCTTCCCCAGAGCCTGCAGCAGCTGGGAATTGTAGAACTGGCTTGAGGGGATGTGACAATATATTTTATTAGTGAGTTAGGTTGATCTTAGTCTTCATTAGTGAAACTCTATTGGTTACTTTGCATATAGTACAAATGCTACTGGATAGTTGTTTCTCAGCTGCAGTTCAGTGTTGGAGAACTACAGGTTATCCACAAACCAGGATATTCTTGCTTTTCCTTGCGACTTAAAACGAATGAAACAGCACTTTTTGTTGGTATTTGGTTTAGATATCATATTTATTAGTTTCTCCTTGTTTCATTTGATGGGATAATGGAGTGAGAAGGCAGTAAATTAAGCAGTCTTTAGTGTTTGCTTTTAGACAGTATCACCTGTTTTCCGTGGAAGGATTGTTGGTCTCTTTTTTTTCCGTTTCTGATGTTTTATTGTAAGATGATTTTGTGGGCTTTAGTGTGAATGCTGTCTCAGAGCATTATGTAAATAACAGAGAAGAATGAAGCAACTGTATTTTTTTATGTGTGTTTTATGTCTTATCTATGTGGGGGATGTACACCCACACTTATATGCACCAGGATTACATAGGTTTACATTTTGCATCAACTTGCAAGTTGCTAACGCATTTAAGTGAATAGGATTAAAAATTAATGTAAAAACAAGGCATCTGAGATAATCTAGGCTTCTTTTACTATTAAATATTATTTTTTTTAACTTTTCTGGTTGTCACTAGAATCTATTCAGTTTCTAGGGAATATTGTCCTTGAATGCTTTTTGAATGGTAAGTACATTCGTTGCTGCCAGAGGATTGTCATAAGTGTCTAGAATTAATGATAATGGGCAGTCCTAGACCATATGTAGATATTTATTTATAATGCACATTATCGTTCTTTTAACTTATTAGCAGGTAATTATGGAGAACCAATTTGTCACCCTTTTCCTTCCAACTCTCCAAGC